GTGCCAGAGTCTGAGCTTCGGCAAAAGACAGATGGAGTCTGGAACAGACTCCTTCCATATGTTTGCACCAAGTTAATCTTGGCCGTCCCCTGGGCCTTCTGCCGGTCGGATTTGCAAGGAACAGTTGTCTAGCCTTCCTTTCTGGAGGCATTCGCAACACATGTGACTTCTCAATCTGGAGAAGCAAAGGCTGTATTCCAAGGCTCTTCCGGATGTCACTATTCCGGACCAATAGGGCCAGCGACTCTATAGACATAAGTTATATTTAAACCTGTATTCGTTTATTTTCGCTATGACGCACGTGCGATTCGTATTCAGACGAGATGGCTGTCTGTCACTTAATCCGTAACGATGCGAGGAACGCGTTTTCAAAGCAGCTGACATAATGGTTAAATGCTCAAAGAACTATTTCCCCGATTATTTTATTTGAATAAGGTTCAATTTCATGCAGATATATTACATGTGCAGCTGACTGTTAAATTTGTTTTTTTTTTGCATTAAGTGAGAATGATTGTACCAGTAGACGCAGCGTTCAATCCTCCGGTGGAATGAGGTTCGAACTTGACCTTGCTGCTTTTAACTCTAAACAGGTTTAGATTATACTGTAACTCGATGATAACTCTTTGTGCATTAAGTACAGGCACAACTTTACGAAAAGATAAACTGGTTTTCATTCTTCCTCCCTTTTCACACAAGTCAGTGCAATGTCAAAGCAATTTAAGACATCATTCTTACATGTATTCACTAGTGCTTTTATTGTCATCCTCATTGTTTTCCTCATAGGTGTTTTCATCTCCTTTGTGCACAGCTGTCACAATATTCCATTTTTCTTTGAGCTGACTGTCAAGTTTATTGGGATTGATTCTGTAGCCTCCGATATCTCTGTTAAAACGTATAATTTTTTCAAACCAGATGGGGATAGTCGTTCTGCTGTGCACTGTAAAATGTATCGTAGAGTAAACGACACCGCTTTCATACCATGTTTTCAGTTAATCTCGGCTGTAAACTGGGTCATGGCGTAGCCCAACGATTTTAAAGTATTTTCATTTCAGGTGATCCGGGAGAATTCGTTGAGGTATTTCCTCCTGAACAAACTATTCGCGAGGGTGATGACGTCACGTTTGAATGCCACCCGCGGAATATCCACCACCGCGTGGCAATACAATGGCTTCGCCGTGGTGGAAGTCTTCCTGCCAATGCGATCATCAACAGGGGACAGCTGACAATTCCACATGCCAAAGCTGCTGACGCAGGAGTGTACATATGCAAAGTTAGTAGCATTTTCCTCCCCAAGCAGGCTGAAGTGCGTCTCAGTGTAGAAAGCGGTGAGGCAAAATGCTCGATGTTTTGTGTCGCTGTCTTCACTTGTGAACGTTTTGCAGGCCACATCGCAGAGTACGTCGGACCGAGTCATTGCTTAGAAACCGAAGCCACTTGCCAAAACGGTCAATGCGTCAAACGCGAATACGTGTGTGATGGGGAAAAGGACTGTGAAGATGGCTCGGATGAATTTAACTGCCGTAAGACCGGTTATTCATGAAAGATGTTGCCACTTTAACGATATAACCTATTAACCACCTCTAGGTGACAGATAATAAGGGCAGTATCTTTAGCTCTTACCGAATAATCCTTGTGTATGACCTGGATTTTCTATAGATGGGAAACCTTCTCTATGGAATGCTTTTATCAACCGCAAAGCCAAATATTGAACTGCACATTAAAGGCAGGCGGCGCTTTACAACTGACTACACTTATTTTGGCTACGTACGAAATATGCAATTATTTTATCTGACATTATAAAGGCACTGCTGAAGTTTCAACCCAATATCATAAATCTTTAAAGACGAAGTTGAATCTTGTACAAAAGAATTCATTTCAAAATTTCGACAAATTCTTTTTTGAGTTACGCCGCATACTTATTTATAATAAACATATTCTGCTAGACAGTACGTGTATATAATAAATTTTACATTCTCGCAGGATTGCTCAGGCAAGCTTTTGCATTCGCTACTCTGGTGGTTTCTTTCCGGGCACCATCATTACTTGATGAAACTGATTAGAAGTTCGGGTTAATTATTGTTTATTTGTCAGTATTGAATGTCGCATATGTGCAGCATAAAAATCTCGGATAATCGCTGCTATATATTTCTCAACACGTACCTAGCTTTCAGTTCTGTTAATTTAAGTAAATCCTGACCCGGTAGACCACCCAGTTTCTTAAATCAGATGTTGTTCTTATGGGTTCTTCAGGAAGACGGCTTCGTAGTCGTAGTGGCTGAACTTCTATACATGTCAATCGCGTATCCTATTCGTGATTAATTATGGAAAATTGAAAATTGATGGATGATATAGTAACAGAATAGGTGCAGTCTTGTCTACTCTAGACGATGAAGAATTATGTGACATATTTAGTAAAGTGTTATAAGTAAGTCTTTGAGAATAAGTCTTTCAGAAGTTTTGAAGGATTCATATTTCTGTTCATAACCGTACTTCGTGCTGTACATTTAACGTTCCTGTTATATTCCTAATAATATGATTAAATGTCTAAGGCAACAAAAGTATGAAGTAGTCCGTTTTTGAATTTTGCTTTTCAGGTACAGAAATTTATTTCTGTAATTAAGAGATTTTCCGTAATTAAGAGTAAGTTGATTCTCGTAGGCAACGCAATGTCTCCCAGGATGGTATGATATTTTCTGTGCGAAAGCGACGCAACAAATAAAAGACTATAAACAGATCCTGTTCATCATCAGCATTTCCCTTCGCGAACTAAGGGTATTCACAAAAGCTTTTTTCATTTTTTGGCTCCCTGAGTTGATGGTACAACTAACAGATCCTACTATTCGAAAAATTACGGCTTCTGGCAAATCAGTCTTCACAAATAAATTTGATTCAGCTTGATGATGAAATAAATTAATATAATTCAAATTTTTTTCTCTGTTATTTCCATCGCTGTAGATCCCATTTGTGTAAACATCGACAACTAATTAAATGACTGCGCACTGACTTAGCGAACTCGCGCATTTATCATGATGGAATCATAAAATAAAAAGATAGTAATATATATTCATAGTTCGACAACAGCATAGCACCTTACTCGCAGGGTAATGAACTCAAATAATTCATATCGATGGCCATCTGTCAATTACATGAATTGAAACTCACGACCGCAGGACTGCACCTTGACTTATTGACATCGCACAGCCATCACAACGGAATTGTACTAAGCAATTCGTAAGTTTCTCATCGGTATCGTACTTCGCTCACAAAGAGCTACCCATTGATACGTATCGTGATATGCTTAATCACGCAGCTGATGCAACTGACCACTGTCCATTTATGCAAATTGAATGCGGCGACTACAGGACCGAGCGCTGACCACAACCAACGGCCTGCACAGAAAAATCAGAAGTTTCTACTCGTTCCATGACACCAAATCAACATAAAAATATGATCCTATGCCGGAGCATGCTAAATAGTGCTTAACTGCTTCAAGACCAGATTTTACGGTGAGCGTGTTGAACCGCCTCCTTCCACTTAATCACTCATGAGGCCATGTATGCAGGCAACGCCTTTATGGCATTTAAGCGCCTACAGTGTCAGATGCATTTCGCGTTATTTTTCAATTGATTAGTCTTCTGCAGAATATGAACCGTGTCTCAGGAGCTGATGCTCAAAATATGCTAACGCATGAACATCTGAACAAAATTTGTTCGTACGCTGGTGAATGTTGATTGACACATAATTCCTTGAAGACCAAATTTAGGTTAGCATATAAGGAATCTATGAATGAATCCCTCACGATGCCGTTAGAACATGGATTATAGTAGGCCCCACGGATGTAGCAACTGCCACGTAAAGGCAGGTCAAAATCAGCATTAATCAGCTACGTTGCCGTGCGATGGGAAAAGTTGGACCCATTTATTTTATTTAAATTCATCGGTCGAAACGTCATAGCATTATTTTATTCTTCGTTTCGTCTCACCAAAGTTTAAACATGGCTTAAATA